CGGTAGCGCGCTCGCCTGGCATGCGTGCAGCCCGGGTTCGATCCTCAGCACCACATACAAACAAAAATGTTGTGTCCACCGAAAACTAAAAAATAAATATTAAAATTCTTTCTCTCCTCTCTCTCTTTAAAAAAAAAAAAATAGCTCATTGTTAGACTATGTTCTCTCATGAAATTTAATCCCCAGTACTGCAAAATACAAACAGTGGCCGTGGCACTGCATGCCTGAATCCTGGTGGTTTGGGAGGCTGAGGCAGGAAGATCACAAGTTCAAAGCCAGCCTCAGCAATTTAGCAAGACCACCTCAAAATAACAGAATGATCATTATTATTATAAGAGTAATAAGTATCAGGCAATATTTATGGATTTAAAAAGAAATCTTCACAATAGTTTTTTTTTTCTTTTCTTTGTGTGTGATGCTAGGGATTAAAACCCAGGACCTCATACCCATTAAGCCTCACAATACCTTTTGTATATATTAGTTCTGCTATCATATTTGGTTGAGCCAGGTATGCACATTTTTTCATGTTTTGTCATCTTTCAAATCAGAGTTATCTTGAGTTGATGAAGTGTTAAGAGTTGTTATTGATAATAATATTTTTGTTTCCAACCTACATGTAAATTTTGGTCATAGCATTTAATAACATCATTAAATGTGTTTTTGATACCACATGGATTGATTTTAGTTGCAGGTTGAGAAGTCTTCAAAACAATTACATTATTTTTAGTATTAAGAAAAAAAAATGTTTTTGGTATACAGAAACATGTATAGGCATAATTGCTGGGCATGGAGGCGCACGCCTGTGATCCCCAGGGCTAGGAGGCTGAGGCAGGAGGATCCTGAGTTCAAAGCCAGCCTCAGAAACTTAATGAGGCACTAAGCAACTCACTGAGACCCTGTTTCTAAATGAAATATGAAAAAGGGCCGGGATGTGATTTGGTGAGCGGTTAAGCACCCCTGGGTTCAATCCCTGGTACCAAAAAGCAAAACAGTGACATAACTGATGATGAAAATTTGTCTAAATAATTTTCTAAAATAAAAACTCCATGTGACAGAAAAGCAGCCTCCCTTTTCTATTTAATTTCAGGGTTTTTCCCTTTCTCAGTGGTATAAACTAAAATGGTGGCTTAATCAATTTAATAATAAGTAGTTTTTCCATTTTATGAAGAAAGGAATGTAGGCTCAGGGGAGTTGAGTTTCTTGTCAAACTGGCATACAGCTAAGAAAACGGCAGATTAGGTCTGGGGTTGTGGCTCAGCAATAGAGTGCTTGCCTTGCACACATGCAAGACCCTGGGTTCGAAGTGGAATCAAGATACTGTGTCCAACTACAACTAAAAAGAAATTTCAAAAGAGGTTAGCTTGATTCTCCAGAGCATACTTTTATCTGTAAATTTTGGCTCATTATGTTTATAATAAATCAGAGAGAGGCTCAGTATAGTTTTAAAAAGTTACCTTATCTATGCTTACAGTGCAGTTGTTAAATTTTGTCTTGTCTCTTGTCCCTGTCCTTACCTCAATTAGCTGTTGACAGGTCCATGACTGCCAGTCTGAGTGACGCCCGAGATGCTCTAGTGAATGCCGTCATTGACTCTCTTGCAGCTTACCGATCTTCAGTCTTAAGTAACCAGCAGCCTGGACTCATGGTTCCTTTCTCTTTGAGACTTTTTCCACTTTTTGTATTGGCTCTCCTTAAACAGGTAAGAAAAACAAAACCAGAAACTAGCACAGTTAAAATGACAAAAGCCAAAATTTTTATTATGTGAAACACTAAACATTATTTAACTTTATGTCAGTTAAATTTTCTGAGGATAGGGACCTGACCTCTTATTTGAAACTTGAAAAGATTTACAGCCAAAAAAATTTAAGAATAATTGATTTAAAGCAAGTTCCTTGAGCATAAGAGATACTAAACATTAAAATGTTATAAAAAATTCAGTTTTCGAAAACATGAATCATATATTTTATTTCTAGCACAAGAAGACACGTGTACTCCATGTTCTCACTTATACCTGGAACCTAAAAAAACAAACAAAAACAGAAAATAGAATGGTGGTTACCAGAGACTCAGGGGTGAAGAGGATGGGGAAATATTGGTCAAAGTTAGACTGGAGGAATAAGCACATGATAGGTGTTGGATATGAACCAGATGGGGTGATATATGCCTGCAATCCCAGAGACTTGGAAGGCTGAGGCAGGAGGATCATGCATTTGAGGCCAGCCTGAGCAGTTTAGCAAGAACCTGTCTCAAAACACTGCTAGAGATGTAGCCCAGAGGTAGAACACTCATGGATTCAATTCTAGGTACTGGGGGGAAAAAGGTATTCAAGATATGGATTATTGTGTATTAGTCAGCTTTTTGTCCTTATGTCCCAAGTGTACAACAAAAACAACATAGAGGAGAAAAAGCTTATTTTGGCTTATGGTTTCAAAGGTTCAGTCTCTGTTGGGCCAACTTTATTGCTCTGGGCCCAAAGTGAGGCAGAACATCACCTTAAAAGGGGATGGCAGAGGATTGCCACATGACAGCCAGTCCAAGGGGAAAGGGCTGCCGGGAAAACTCTTCTAGGACACATCCAGTGACATACCTCCTCCAGCCACATCCCATCTATTGCAGTTACCACCCACTTAGTCCATTCAAATAAGGATGAACCTATTAGGTTCTAGCTTTTATGGTCTAATCATTTAATCTCTGAATATTCCTGCATTAACACAGGAATTGGGTGTTGAGTTTTCTTTTTGTTACTAGTGATTAAACCCAGGATTGCTTAACCACTGAGCCACATGCCCAGTTGCCTTTCCTTTTGTGATCCTATAGCCTTTTTTTTTAAGTTATAGGTGGACACTGTATCTTTATTTTTTATTTACTTATATTTTTATGTGGTGCTGAGAATCGAACCCAGTGCCTCACATGTGCTAGGCAAGTGCTTTACCACTGAGCTACAACTCCAGCCTCCTGAGGCACTTTTTATAGCTTTATTTATAGGACTTTTCATTTGACTCATTATTTATGTCTCCCCTGCTTGTTCTTTATACCTTCTTTACCTCCCCCAAGAGAAAGAACTCTAGGCTGGTGGAATAGGCTTATTTGTCCCGTGTCCAGAATTATACTTTAAGTAAACTTCCCTTATAGATTTTTATTTTTATTTTATTTTATTTATTTATTTAGGTTCTGGAGATTAAACCTAGGGATGTTTTACCACTGAGCTACATACCCAGCTCTTTTTATTTTGAGACAGAGTATCACTAAGTTGCTAAGGTTGGCCTTAAACTTGTGATCCTCCTGCCTTGGCCCCCCAGGTTTCAGGGATTACAGGCATGTGCTACCAATCCCAGGTCTTATAAATTTTTATTTAAAAGCTCATGTTAAGCCAGGCACAGGATAACAAATTTGAAGACATCCTTGGCAACTTAGCAAGACCTTGTTCAATCTCAAAAGAGAAGGTCTTGGATGTAACTCAGTGGTAAAGTGCCCCTGAGTTCTATCCCCAATACCAAAATAAATAAAAACCTAGCTTCGTGTTAATGCTTTTTATTAAAAGCACTGATCAAAGACTGCTCTGGATCTTATTAATTTCTGTACTTTTTCACTTCCCTAGGTCTACCTGTATCCTGGTATGGTGGTGTATGCCTGTAATTCTAACAGTTGTAGGAGGTTGAGTTAAGAGGATCATAAGTTTGAGGCCAGCCTCAGCAACTTAGTGAGACCCTGTCTCAAAATAGAAAATTAAAAGGGCCAGGGATGTGGCTCACTTGTTAAGTGCCCCTAGTAGGTTAAATCCTTTGTACCAAAAGAAAAAAAAAAAAGATCTGCCTGTCTGGTATATATAATTTCTTCCAAGTGAGATAGGGAACCTACTATTCTTTAATTGGGATGACTTTTGAACCAACAAGACCTAATAGTAACAATTTTAAGGAGGAAAAGTTTATTTGGGGGCTCATGGTTTCATAGGTCTCAGTCTGTAGATGGTTGACTTCATTCCTTGGGTCCTGATGTGAGGCAGACATCATGGTGGAAGTGTGTGGCAGAGCACAGCAGCTGGGAACATAGCAACTGGAAGCAGAGAGTTTTGTTCAACAAGGACAAAATATATACCCTAAAGACATGCCCCCAGGGACCCACCTCCTCCAACCATACCCTACCTGCCAATAGTTACCATTTAATCCCTATCAGAAGATTAATTCATGATTAGATTAAGGCTTTCATAACCCAATCATTTCATATCTAAACTTTCTTGCATTTTCTCATATATGAGCTTTTGGGTGCCACCTCACATCTAAACCATAACATCATCTTTTATTTGTAGTAAGTGCATTTGTTTCAAAGCATAATTTCATTGTTGTTTCCCTCTGTCTCTTTTTTACTCCTTTTCATCAACTGGAACTTTTTAAAAACCTTACCTCAAAACTTCATTATTCGGGCTGAGGATGTGGCTCAAGCAGTAGTGCGCTCGCCTGGCATGTACGCGGCGCTGGGTTCGATCCTCAGCACCACATACAAATAAAGATGTTGTGTCCACCAAAAACTAAACAATAAATATTAAAAAATTAAAAAAAAAACTTCATTATTCCCCACAAAGCTGAATCACCAGTTAAATCTCACTGTAATGCTATTCTTTTTTTTTTTTTGAGAGAGAGAGAAAGAATTTTTTAATATTTATTTTTCAGTTTTTAGCGGACACAACATCTTTGTTTGTATGTGGTGCTGAGGATCGAACCCAGGCTGCACGCATGCCAGGCGAGCGCGCTACCGCCTGAGCCACATCCCCAGCCCTCACTGTAATGCTATTCTACTAAGCAGTTGTCCTCATTTGTATTACCATCATCATTGATTTTTTTTTTAATATTTATTTTTTAGTTTTCGGTGGACACAACATCTTTATTTTTCATTTGTATGTGGTGATGAGGTTTGAACCCAGTGCCTCGAGCATGCCAGGCAAGCGTGCTACCACTTGAGCTACATCCCCATCCCCGTCATTGATTTTTAAGCTTTGGTACATTGCTTATTTCTTTAACAGTGGAAGAAACAATGATAGCCATCGTCAATTATCACTCAGCATTTATAGAGCATTTAATGGGTGTCATTGGTCCTTATTTTATCTATAGTGTAGTGTCATCCTTCTTGTAGTGTTAATCATTATGTCACTTTCTCTATATGGCATATAGAGTGTAGCTACCATTTCTTTCAGTAAATGCTGAGCACATTAATTAGCTTCATAGAGAATAATGAGGTTTTGATGGAAAGGAGTAAAAGAGATGACCCTATTTTATTGATTAGGGAACAGACACCAAGGAGATCAAATAACTTTGCCATGGTTTGTTAATTAAATAAGACATTTAAATAAACCTATGGTCACCATTTAATATACTATTTAATATATGTGTATATATATATA